GCGGCGTCAGTTGACGTTCCGGGAGAAGTCGAGGATCATCCAGGAGGTGGAGGAGAACCCGGACCTGCGCAAGGGCGAGATCGCGCGGCGCTTCAACATCCCGCCGTCCACGCTGAGCACCATCCTGAAGAACAAGCGCGCCATCCTGGCGTCGGAGCGCAAGTACGGTGTGGCCTCCACCTGCCGCAAGACCAACAAGCTGTCCCCCTATGACAAGCTCGAGGGCTTGCTCATCGCCTGGTTCCAGCAGATCCGTGCCGCGGGCCTTCCCGTCAAGGGCATCATTCTCAAGGAGAAGGCGCTGCGGATAGCCGAGGAGCTGGGCATGGACGACTTCACTGCCTCCAACGGCTGGCTGGACCGTTTCCGCCGGCGCCACGGCGTGGTGTCCTGCAGCGGCGTGACGCGAGCCAGGGGCCGAAACTCTACCCCCCGGACCCCAGCGGCACCTGCGAGTCCGGCTGCTGTGCCCCCCGAAGGCAGCGGTGGGAGCGCGCCTACTTGGCGCGCGCGCGAGGAGCAGCCGCCGTCGGTGGCCGAGGGCTACGCCTCTCAGGACGTATTCAGCGCCACCGAGACCAGTCTGTGGTACGACTTTCTGCCTGATCAGGCCGCGGGGCTCTGCGGAAGTGATGGAAGGGCGCGCCAAGCCACCCAGCGCCTGAGCGTCTTGCTGTGTGCCAACGCCGACGGCAGCGAAAAGCTGCCCCCGTTGGTAGCCGGCAAGTCGGCCAAGCCCCGTGCAGGACAAGGCGGCTTACCCTGTGACTACACTGCCAACTCGAAGGGAGGTGTCACCACCCAGGCCCTGGCCAAGTACTTAAAGGCTCTGGACACCCGAATGGCAGCAGAGTCCCGCCGGGTCTTGCTGCTGGCCGGCCGCCTGGCTGCCCAGTCCCTGGACACCTCAGGTCTACGGCATGTGCAGCTGGCCTTCTTTCCTCCAGGCACTGTGCATCCGTTGGAGCGGGGAGTGGTTCAACAGGTGAAAGGCCACTACCGCCAGGCTATGCTGCTCAAGGCCATGGCAGCACTGGAGGGCCAGGATCGCTCAGGCCTGCAGCTAGGCCTCATGGAGGCTCTGCACTTCGTGGCGGCTGCCTGGCAGGCAGTGGAGCCTTCCGACATAGCCACCTGCTTTCGGGAGGCCGGCTTTGGGGGTGGCCCCAATGCAACCATCACCACCTCCCTTAAGAGTGAGGGAGAAGAAGAAGAGGAGGAGGAGGAGGAAGAGGAGGAAGAAGAGGAGGAGGAGGGTGAAGGGGAGGAGGAGGAAGAAGAAGAAGGGGAGGAGGAGGAAGGAGGGGAAGGAGAGGAGTTGGGGGAGGAAGAAGAGGTTGAGGAGGAGGGTGATGCTGATGATAGTGATGAAGAGGAGGAGGAAGAGGAAGAGGAGGAGGAGGAGGAGAGCTCCTCTGAGGGCTTGGAGGCCGAGGACTGGGCCCAGGGAGTAGTTGAGGCTGGTGGCAGCTTCGGGGGTTACAGTGCCCAGGAGGAGGCCCAGTGCCCTACCCTCCATTTCCTGGAAGGTGGGGAGGACTCTGAGTCAGACAGTGAGGAAGAGGAAGAAGAAGATGAAGAGGAGGAAGATGATGAGGATGAGGATGAGGATGATGGCGACGAGGTGCCTGTGCCCAGCTTCGGGGAGGCCATGGCTTACTTCGCCATGGTCAAGAGGTACCTGACCTCCTTCCCCATTGATGACCGTGTACAGAGCCACATTCTCCATCTGGAACACGATCTGGTCCATGTAACCAGGAAGAACCACGCCAGGCAGGCAGGGGTTCGGGGTCTTGGACATCAGAGCTGAGCCTCTGAGCATAGCTGCACCTGTGACCCAGATGGGTAGTACCAGCCCAGGGCAGAGAACGTTCTGGGATGGAACCAGGTGGGGGATCCCCAGGGCCTTTACTCATGCTTCCCCTGGCCTTGACACAGGCACAGGGGCTGAGGTTTGCCTTGCTGCCTGCTTATTGCCTCTTTCTCAGAGTCCTCTTTTTCTCCCCATTTGCCCCTAGGCTCAGGGGACCAGGTGGGGTGGGTGGGGAGCTGTCTGGTGCTACCACACCATGCCCTCAGTGGACTAGACCACGGCAGCAGCCAGGGATGGCCCTGGAAGCTCCCGGCCGGAGAGTGCCTCTCCCCCTGCCGTCCACAGCCAGGTCTTTGGTGGGGGGACCCCAAAGCCATTCTGGGAAGGGCTTCAGAGTAAGGTCCAGCCTAGGCCCCCACAAGGCTGGCAGCCTCCCACCCCACTCCAGGCCACCTCGAGAAGCACAGTCTAACTCAGGGTGGGTTTCTGAGCCCACCTCTGCCTGCTTTCCACCTCCCGAGTCCCTTTCTCTGGCCCACCTGTGTGATTTTGGCCCTTGGTTTTCTTTCCAGATTGGAGGTTTCCAAGAGGCCCTCCATGGGAGTGACAGTGGTGCCTCCCTCATGGGCAGCTGCAGGCCCTGTGCCTCTCATCCCTCTCTGGCAGGGCCCCATCCTGGGCAGAGGGGCCTGGGGCTGGGCACAGAGTCCGGCCGTCCAGCTGCTCCTTTCCCAGTTTGAATTCAATAAATCTGTCCACTCCCCTTTTGTGGGAGTGAACGTTTTAACAGCCAAGGGTGCATCCTTCATGGTCTGGGCTTGCGTCTGACTTGGGGGACATGTCCTTTCCTTGGTTCCCTTTGGTCCTTGCGCTGGTGGGACATGAAAGCAAGGGTGAGAGGGGTGAGGGGCAGAGGGAGTCCTCAACATCTACATCTAAATGTTTATGGAGGACTGGGGAGGAATGGGTCTATTTAAGGAAGTCTAGCCATCTGGGGTTAGACAGCAACTTGGGATCACTTGACTGGCACAGAGTAACAGATCCTGCAGTGTGTTGGACTAAATCAGGCAATAAGCACCTGAGGCTTAGGCCACCAAGGCTGGTCAAGAAAGTCCTTGCAAGAATGGGTCCAGAACAAAAGATTGTTGAGATAGCTTCCCTGGACCATGTTAGTTTGGAAGGGAATATGGGGTTTACGTCTGGTCTCTTCATAGGACCTCTTTAGTCCTTTTAGTGATTAGCAGTTCCAAGCCTCATGGTCATGGCTGAGGATCAGTGGCAGGAGGAAGATAAGTTGCTGAGAAGAGATTGCACCCACAAGAGGCTAAGGATGGGTTGGTAGCTCCCCATGCAGTGCCCTCCAGGGGCTCCCCAGCCAAAGCTGAGGACTGCCCTTTACTAGTCCTGTCTTCTTCACACACTAACCCCTTTAGTAACTCTCCATTGCTGAGGCCTTCAGGCCCCAGCACCCCAGCGGGAGCTCTGGGAGCTCTGGGCCCCAAACCGGTTTTCCCACCCTGCCTGGGGCTGGCACATCACTTCTGAAGTTCCGCCTAACTGCTGCTCACCATTGCCACCAAGTTTTTCCTCTCCCCACCCTGGAATGTTAGGGAGTGGGGATATCCAGGTCATCTTTTGTCCCTTGCCTGCCCTGGGTGGGGGTCCCTTCTAGAGGGGCTAACTTTCATTCTTGGTCTTCTGTACTTCTGACATTTGAATCCCCTCGAAGGGAATTATAAACAAAGGGACAACAAAAAGGAGTTGGGATTCCCCTTGATATCAACCCCTCCCCCAATCTGAGCTCTGGAGATGAAGACCAGAAAGCTTAAAGGAAGCCCAGCCTAACCCCTGGGCCTTCTCTGGAGTAGGGAGGAGGAAGTGTAGTGGCCTTTTCAGGTGCCCCTGGCCAACCCAGGCCCCTTACCTCAAGTACCAACAAGGCAAATCACTTCCATGTGTCCCCTGCCCACAGGAGCACCTCTTTTGCTATAGCTGAGATGATCTCACGGATGATTCCACCAGTTGAAGCTGATAGGGCCCTTGCCATGAGCCAGGCTCTAAGCACTTTAGAAGATACTTGCAAAGCCCTTTGAGAAGTCATAACAAACAGGCCTAGAGGTTCAGTGTTGTGACCAAAGCCAATTATTAGTCTGTATTGATCACTTCTGTAGTGTGATCTCCTTAGGTTGATCCTAGAAGTATCCAGCTTCTGCTACTCTGTACCTCTTCTGTAAGGAGGGACCCATATGCCTAACCCTGTTAAGGGTAATGCTGATTTGAAATGGAGAAAATCAATTTCTAGTCCATGGTAAAACAGTTCCTTGGAGGGAGATGAAGGATGTGTCTGCAGGAATTGTTTCTGTATCTGTAACCAACTTCCATCCCTCCTATACAAATACAGGTCTTATGGAAATAGTAAGATTTTCCTGTTTTGTAGTTTCTTTCCCATCACCCCACTGAGACAAGTAAGAACTGTTCATATTTCACAAAGGAGGAAATAGGTTAAGGAGGTAAATAACCCGCCTGCAGTACTGGCCTTGAACTCTGGTGTTCTCTCTAGGAGGCTGGGTTACATATTCAATGGCCCAGCAAGACATTGAGATGGGCTATGCTAATGGCAATGAGTACAGAGCTTTGGGGAGGGAGTCAGTGAGGAAGCACCGCTGTACAGCATACCTCACGGCCTAGATGTAGCAAATTATTAACGGTGGACCACTACTAAAGCTGACAAACATGGAATGCCTTCATTTAAGAATGACAACTAAAAGTGTACAGAAGGGCCATCCCAGCGTTGGTGATGCTAGTGCATAGATACAGGTGGCCTGATTGGCCTTGGCCGATCCCACGCTTGGTCAGTGGCTGCTCAGCAGGTGGCATAGGCTCAGAAGTGATGCCTTCTTGGAGAGAGGAGGATAAGGGCACCTAACTGCTTTTTCCAAGCTGGGGCCCAGGGAAAAGTAGTGCGGGGAAAACTACATGTCCCAGAATCCTCTGCTCCCAGGCGAGGCCCGGTAGTTGCCATGGTTTCAGAAAACAATATGGCTGCTCCCAGACGGGACGTGAGTCTCCAGGTTAGGGAGGCAAAGGAAGTCTGGATTCCTACAGAGGCAAGAAAGGAGGCGTTTGAGGGGTCGTAAGACTGAGGCTGGAAGCTGCACAGCTAGAACGGCCTACCCTTACCAAGGACACCAATGGCTAGCAACATGGACGAAGAGGCTCTGCATCAGCTGTATTTGTGGGTAGACAACATCCCTCTGTCCCGACCCAAACGAAATCTCTCTCGTGACTTCAGTGACGGAGGTGTGCACTCCCATGTGTTTCTGTATATTCTGTCTTGTATGTACCTGTGTAAAGAGTCTGAGTACACCATGTTTTTGTTTGAGGTGTGTGTTGGGGGCGGGGGGCTCTGTCTCCTGGGACTTCAATTTTAGAAGTGTGTGTTTCTGTTCAGTTACCTTGTTTTTGGTCTTTTGTTTGTTTGTTTGTTTTTTGACTTTTTTGTTTGTTTGTTTTATTTTGGTATTTTTGTTGAACTGTTTTCTAGGGAAGGCTTATCTTTTGTTTTTGGTGCCAAGGGCCAAACCCAGGGATTCCACCTTGCTAGGCAAGCGTTCTATTGCTGAGCCAAATCCCCAACCCCAGTGTTTGTGTTTTCTGTTTGTATCTGTATGAAGTGTCCATGAGCAGTCTTCATGTTGTAGCCTTGCGTGGTGTATGTGTATCTACCTCCACGGACTTTAATTGTGGAGATGTTTATGTTTTGTGCATCTCTGTATGTGCTTGTTTATTGCTGTGTGTTCTGCACATGTCTGTCTCATAGGAGTCTGAGAATAAGTGTGTTCATGTGTATTGACTTTTTTTTGCACGTATTGGGGGAGGGTCTTGTGTGCATATGTGTTTCTTTAGGTTTCTATTTCAGGAATGTGTCCTGGGAGTTCAGTGACAGAAGTATACATTTTTTTTTCATTTCTCTATGTGTCTATTTGAGGAGGCTGCATGCATGTGGCTCTGTGCTTGTATATGTGCACTACATATGCACCTATGTGTGTGTGTGTGTGTCATGTGTTTGTCCTGCATGTCTACACATTGTGCCTTAGGTGTACATCTGTAGAGGAATATTATTGTGTCTCTGCTTGTGTGTGTCTGTGACTCCTTGGACTTTAATGTTAGTGCATGCGTGCATCCATTTGAATTACTAGGGTGGGGTTCAGGATCCAGAAAGACTCTCTTGGAGACTCATTCTGAGTTTTCCTGTGCCTTGAGTTAATGGGGAAGGGAAGTACCTCCTTTGGGATATGCCAGGTACTTGTTTAGTCACTGATCTTGTTCTCTGTCTCTTCAATCATCCTTCCTGCTACACCCCCACCTCTCTGTTGGTTCCACCACTATGCTTCATCTCCCACCTATCTCTTCTTCCATCTTCACCCTCAACCCTTCACACCTCCCACCTTCACTCTCTCAGTCCTGGTTGCAGAGATCATCAAGTTTTACTTCCCCAAGATGGTGGAGATGCACAATTATGTCCCTGCCAACTCCCTCCAGCAGAAGCTCAGCAACTGGAGTCACCTGAACAGGTAGCAGAATATCCAGGAAGGGAGGAGCCCAGGTTCCCAGGAAGGGCTGCCCAAGCCACTTCAACTCTAGTCTGTGTGTGTGTGTGTGTGTGTGTGTGTGTGTGTGTGTGTGTGTGTGTCCAGTTCAGCCCTCCCTGAGCTATCTCGCTAGCCCACCTCCTATAGTCTTGATACCCAAGCTGGAACAATGTTGGTGGCAGGTGGGAGGGCCAATAGACAGAATCCACCTGGTAATAAAATCAAGGAACTCTTCTACTGGGGAGGAGATAAGGAGCCTTGGGACACCTGAGCAGGAGCGCTTAGATCCTGCCTTTCCACTTCCCAATGGCAGTGCACTCAGGACTTGGCTCCTTTCCTTTTGGGCCCTCATTTTTACTTCATTTCCCATAAGACCCCATCTGCCACCCCTGTGTCTACTCTGCAGGAGGGTGCTGAGCAAGCTGAACATCTCGGTACCAGATGATGTCATGCGCAAGATTGCACAGTGTGTCCCAGGTGTGGTGGAGTTAGTGCTCATCCCACTGAGGCAGCGCCTAGAGGAGCGGCGAAAACGCAGGAAGCAGGGCGCTGGCTCCTTACAGGTATCACTGGGCTCCAGCCTAATTCCTGCCCTAGAGGGCTTCCCAGGCATCAGAAAACCTGGCCCTGGTGATGAGCACAGGCTAGGGGTGCCTGCCCAGGACAGCATGACCTGGGGGACTGCAGAAAGTACATTGGGCTTCTTGGGATGGGCAATCCGAGGCTCACAGTGCACAATGGGGGTTTTTTCAGGACCTGGCTCCTCAGGATGTCAGTGACTACATGGATGTCGGTAAGACTTCCCTTCTCCCTCCCAGGATGAGCTTTTCTCCTTTCCTTCTATGCTGGAGAATGGGATCCAAATAAGGTCACTCTTCTACTTGCCTTGTCTCAGGTCTATCCCAGAAGGCCCGAGGGGAAGGTGCTCTTGACCCCCAGGGAGGCAGCCATCTCAGGTAAAGAAGCTGGGAGAGACTTGGTAATCTCCCAGTGCAGGCTGGAGTAAGTGGGGCTGGCTTCACCTGAGGAGGTAGGGAGGAGTGACAGGGGAGAAGCAGAAGAAGGGAGGCCTGGCTGAGGGTTGTCGCCTGGGGATGGGTGTCTAGGCCTCTCTTAAGCTGCTTTACACCACAGAGGGGTCCGGCAGCCAACTCCCCGGCCTCCTGGGTATAACCAGGCCCAGCACAGCGACCCAAGTTTCGTGCTCCAGATTGCTGAAAAAGAGCAGGAACTGCTGGCTTCCCAGGAGACTGTGCAGGTGAGGGTGCCTCGGGGAGTTTTGGGGACCTGGGGGCTACAGAGGCAGGGGCATCGCATCAGGCTTCAGAGTACATCTATGCCTCACTGCCCAGGTCCTGCAGATGAAGGTGAGGCGCCTGGAGCATCTGCTTCAGCTCAAGAACGTGCGCATAGAGGACCTGTCCCGGCGGCTCCAGCAGGCTGAGCGCAAGCAGCGGTGAGCCCTGATGCCAAGACTCAGCCACCCACCTGCAGACAAGCACTGGGAGGGCAGAGCCAGTGCCCACCAGCCTCCTCTGCTCAGACAGGGAGGGAGTTGGGGAAGGGGGGCCTTGGCAGGGGCTTGACATCTAGGCCTGGCAAATGGACCACTTGCCCAGAGCCCTGTCTTGGAGCTCCCTAGGCCTTGGGAGGAGGTCCCCAGGCTCTGTCCACATCCCTAGTTTAGATCCCAACCCAGCCCTGGGGACTGTGGTGTCTCAAGCTAGTTCTACCCTTGGTAGTCAGGAAGCTGCCTTCAGAAGCCAAGGGGCTCACCTGGGAGTGGTCTTAAGGATGGAGACCACAGCAGCTGGAGAGGAATAGGTGAAGAATAGCAGCAGCCAGGAATAGGGGACACATCTGCTGTGCCCACACCGTGGCCTTCCTCACCTGTGGGGTACTGTTGGGAGTGCCTGGGGATGTGGGACAGGGTGGGCCCTATTAAAGGTGGCACTGTGCTTTTTTTTCCCTGTGCCTGCCTCCTCTTTTTGCCTGAGTCCCTTAAGGGAATGGGTTCCTGCCCTCTTTGTCATCTAACCCTTATTCCCCTGCCTAGAAGAGCCTTGTTGGCTCAGAATGAGTTTCATCCTGTTGGTGTTAGGTCTGTGTTCCCACTGCTGGGTGGACTGACCCTGGATTAGATTGCTTCCAAATCTGCTTTCAAACTGTCCTTCAACTTTGTTTAAACCCAAGCTTCAGATTCTCTCCAGCGGTACCACACACTTGCCCTCCAACCTGCCCATGGTCTGACCCTTTAACTTGACCTGTATGACTCCCAACCCTGCCCACCCCCTGGTCTATGGGCCAAGGCCAAGCCTTCCTTCCAATGTTGACCAAGACACTATGGTGCCCACTTATATGACCTTCACACAGATGATTTGCTGAGTACCAGCAATGTTGACTATGTATACATCATGAGATCTAGTAATTCCATTCTTAGGCATACACGAAGAAAAACTTAATCTTTGTGTTCTGTGTCCTGGGAAACAGTTCACAGCAGTGGTCATAGCAACACCCTTTGTAATAGTAAAAGAACTAAAAAGGACCCATGTAGTTAGCTGATACAGTGTAACAAATTACTATCCATTTAGAAGTGTGCTTATTATCTCACTTTTTTTTTTCCTGTGGGGAAAGAAGCCAGGCTGGCTTCTCTGGGGCCTCTGCTTCAGGGTTTTCGATCAAAGCTGCACTGAAGCATCAGCCAGAATTGTGGTCCCATCTGCAGGGACAGCTGAGGAAGGAGTCATATGCATGTTGATTGGTGACAGGATCTAGTTTCTGGTGGGCTGCTGGGCTTCCGTGTTTTGCTGGTTGTTGGCTGGTAGCTGCCTTCATTTCCTTACTGGATGGCCTCACTCAAGGATAGTAGCTTACTTCACCAAAGTTAGTGAGGGAGACAGTAACAAGTATGTATAGTAGCATAGGCCTGTAATCCCAGCACTCTGGGAGGCCAAAGCAGGAAGATGCAAGTTTGAGCTAGCCTGGGCAACACAGTGAAACCTTAACACAAAATTTAAAAAAAAAAAAAAAAAAATTAAAAAGGGTTGGGAATGAAGCTCAGTGTTAAGAGCCTGGGTCCAATTCGCAGTTTTAAAAAAAATGAAAGCAGGGCTATGAATACAGCTCAGCAGCATAAGAACCTGCCTGGCAAGCACAGGGTCCTGAGGTGGATCGTCAGTACTGCTAAAAAAAAGAAAGAAAAAAAGGGCTGAGGATACAGTTTAGTGGCAGAGCGCCTGCCTGGCCAGCAGGAGATTTTGAGTTCAATTCTCAGTAGCAAAAAGAAAAAGAAGAAAGAAAGAAAGAAAGAAAGAAAGAAAGAAAGAAAGAAAGAAAGAAAGAAAGAAAGAAAGAAAAGAGCACTTGAGTTGGTACAATTATTTATAACTGTTTAGCTCTTGAAGTAGGTTGGTTTATAGGTTTTCAGATGTGAGTTGTTTCTGGCCAAAGGGAGAGTGCTGTGAACTGAGGACTACATTCAATAATATTCAGTAATTCAATAATAAAAATATTCAGGGCTGGGTGTGGTAGTGCATGCTTGTAATCCCAGCCCTCAGGAGACAGAGGTAGGAGGGCCAGTGTGAGTCCCAGACCAGCTTGGGCTACGTAGTTAAGGTCAGCCTAAACTACTAAGCGATATCTTGTCTCAAAAAACAAAACTAAAATAAAATTATAATACTAATTTTAAAATTTATTACTGGGCATGTAACTTAGTGGTAGATTGCTTGCCTAGCACTCAGTGTCCAAGTTCAGTACCCAGCAGTGTAAAAAAAAAAAAAAAAAAAAAAAA